TTGAATGATATTTAGTGAAGGCTTGGATTTGTATAATTAGCTTCAAAATAGAAAACGTGTGAAATCCTATAAATCTTATTTTTATTGGAAATAAGTTAACACCTTTATTTGAATCAATCATCTACGCTTATAAATATTATTTATGAAACTGATATTTAGTGAATCTTGAATGATATTTAGTGAATTTGTTGGAAATAATATAACACCTTTATTTGCTAAAATCATCTACGCTTATAAATATTATTTTGAAAACCGTAATTGATATTTAGTGAATCTTGAATGATATTTAGTGAATCTTATTTTTGTATAATTAGATTTAAACTAGAAAACGTGTGAAATCCTATGGATCTTTTTTTTTTATTGGCAATAATATACATATATGATTTTATCCTATATACTCCACACAAAAAAACGTGTGAAATCCTTTAACAATATGCAATTTATTACCTTTAATAAAATAAACTAAAATCAAATATTATGGTTGCAATATTTGTAATGTTTATTAAATAATTCCAAATGATATATTGCAGTTTTTATAATTTTTCATATCAAATATTTAAAGCAATTAACTAAATTATAATTTGTTATTCCCCTATAAATACACACATTTTTCAATCATTGAACATCATTCGTTCCATTTCTTTTTTATTTTCGAGTAGTCTAATTTGTCTTTTATTCAACTCAATTCAAGATGAAGACCGATTTTGCCAATAACAAGCAAGTCTCGAGAAACAACAAGCCACCTTTGAAATTGCGAGTTATTCGAATTATCCAAAATAAATTTCCTCAACAATACAGAAATAACTGGAAAATTTTGTTCCATGATGAGGAGGTGAATACATATTTTATTTTTACTTTTTTTTTTTATTTGTCATTATTTACTTTTAATATTTTCTAATTTCCATTTCTAGGGGTTCCGTATTACTGGCGTTCTAAGGTTTGCTCATATGAAGAAATGGAAAAACAAGCTGAGAGAGGCAGAAGTCTATGGAATACACAAGTATCAAGTTGAGAACAATGATGGCTCATTCCGTCTGACTATTAATGAGTTCAAAATTGTTATCCACAGTATGACCAACATTATTAGGTGGAAATGAGAATTCCCACAATTTTCATATGATTTCCGAAGCTTTGCCACTCTCCGATATGACCAACATTATTCGTGTTGAAAATCGCAAAGATCTTCGAAACAAATATTGATTAATCAAATTTAAAATTTGCAATTTAATTTTAAAGAATTAGTCGATAAATTTGATCGATAAGATAACCGACAACATATTAAGAAATTGCGAGATAATATACATATATATATATATATATATATAATTTGAATTGCAAATTCAAAAGTCAATTAAGTAATTATTCATAAGTTACAGGTCAATATTGACATGAAAGAACATGGAGTAGTCAATTATTTATAGTATATTAAATTCCTCAACTACTTAATTTTTTTTATTTGGACAGTTTATACAAAAATAAATACATTTTAATTAACGAAACAATATAAGTTTGTAATTATAATTATTATTTACATGGCTTTTTAAATATATGATAAAAATTTTACCAATATATATATTTTATGGAATCACATTGTAGTCAAATCGAATTTTGCCCTCAAAGTAACACAACTTTTTTCTATGCAGTAAATTAGAGCAGATTAGATAGAGTTGTGGGCAATGATACATGGATTAATTTTTGAATAAAAGTTTTAAAATGACACTCACTGTGAAATGAATATAATGTAATTTATTATCCGTTAAGTGCATCGTACGCATTGTGTACAAATTCTAAATAGACATGTTTTATGTAATTCTGTACAATTTAAATTTCATATAATATTTTTAATAAATTAATATAGGTAAATTGTATTATATATTAATTTTATATTTTTGATTTATAAATATTATTTAATGAGTATTTTTATTTAATAAATATTAATACATATTTTTTACCCGTGCATCGCACGAGATTCGTACTAGTATTCCCTGATCGCAAAAATGAAAAAAAAAAAGACCCAACATATATTCCCCTTGGACCTGGGGTCGCCGCCCGTTTCCCACGCACCAGCACAACCCCGCGGCGCGC